GCGCTCTGGAGGCTGAGGGCAGGAGGATCAGTCAGTCTGAGGCCAGCCTGGGCTGTATAGTGAATTCACTACCAGCCTGAGCTACATAGCAAGATCCTGTCTCAAGAAAGCAAAAAAAGAACTTTGAAATGATGTGGTACACGCATATGATCCCGACATTCTGAAGGGCTGAGGCAGGAGCATTGTAAATTCAAGTGCAGCTTGAACAAGACCATGTCTCAAAATTTTATTTTATTTATTTTTTTCATGTCTCAAAATTTAAAAAAATGAGCTGGGAGTGTAGCTCAGTGCAAAGGGCCTGGGTTCCCCAGTACCTAAAATAAATTTTTAAAACTTGTAAAAAATTTCAGCCATTTTTAACCTTTTACATCAACAACTGGTTGCTACTTTTAGTATTTTTTTTTTGGTCTTTTTGAGGCAGGGTCTTGCTATGCAGTTCAGGCTGGCCTTGAACTCACTTTGTAGCCCAGGCTGGTCTCGAACTCGCAACAATCCTCCTGCCTCAGCCTCCCGAGTGCTGGGATTACAGGCATACGCCACCATGCCCGGCTCTATTTTTAGGAATTCTTTAAAGTAGGAAAGAATTTAAAATGCACAAGATGGAGCCGCTCCCACCACTTGCTGAAGGGGCTGCTTAGCCCGTGGGCAGGAGTCAGATGTGGTCTCTGCTCAGACCAACTGCTGGCTAAGTCTGCAGGCTGAGCCGGTGCAGAGGTGGAGCCACCTAGACCCTCTTCCTTTCCACTTGATTCATCCTTCCGCTCAAGCCTTTGGGAAGGTCCCTGTGGCCAGACTCTGGCAATCTGTGGAGTCACAAGATTTCAGCTGACTCCTCCCTTTTCCGTGAGCAGCAGGGTAGGGCAGGTCCCTCCTCTGTACTCCCCACTTTTGCTCCTTTCGCTTCAACCCCTGCAGGCTCCACACCCACACCTGTCCAGCCCTACACCCTCATCACCCACCATACCCCTCAACTGGGTGCAAGGTCTTAACAGATGAGCACATGGGATCATGTCTTTTGGATAACGAGGTAGAGAATCTTTTTGCCTCCTGTTTCCAAGATCATTTTCTGAATGCCTGGGCTGGGCCCCGATGACACTCTTACTGTATTCCAGGCGCTAATGGTGACTTCCAAGTTGGGAACTGAGGGATAAATAGGAGCTCACTGAGGGGTAAATAAGACCATGAAGGGGAAAGGTGTTCCCTCCACCTTGTTTTTTTTTTTTTTTTTTTGGTTTTTCTCCGGTACCGGGAACCAAACTCACGACCTTGCGCTTGCCAGGCAGGCGCTTTTGCCGCTGAGCTAAATCCCCAGCCCCTCCCTCCACCTTGTGAGGCCGGGATTGCCCTGCACCCCTGAAGGACAGTACAGGCCCTGCAGATGCTGAGTGAGAAACCGGGGAGAATCACAGTCTGCCCAGGCCTGATGCTGGGATGCCTGCAGTGACAGGGAACTCATTACATCTTAGCCAAGGTTCCTGCTAGGACTCTCTTGCCATATTCCCACCTTGTAGCAGGCTCACTCATAGGACCAGAAAGAGTGCACCCAAGGGGCTCAGGAACCAGACAGAAGGACAGAGAGGACACAGCCCTCTGAGGCCACACCAGACAGTGCCGAAACCAGGTGGGGCAGCTGGCCGGCCTTCTGCCCAGCCTCTCGCTTTTCTCAGGCTGTGGCTGGGAGATGAGGGATCTGGGGCAGGCCTGAGTCACAGGTCTTGGCCCAGGGGCCATGTTGGGCTCAGGTCAGGTGGCATGAGGGTGCCTCTCAGGTACTGAGACTCCAGCAGCCTGGACTTGCCCCAGCCTCCCCAGGTTCATGCTGGAGCAGACTCAGGGACTCAAGGCATGCCCTGGCAATCTGGGAGGGCTTCCTGAAGAGGTGAGGGCGAGGTCTTCCTACCAGGGAGTAGAGCCTGTTTCTGAGTATGCCACCCACAGGAAGAGGGTAACATGGAGTCCCAGGTGCTGGGCCAGGCTCATGACACACAGCTTCCTCACAGGCTGGTTTCAGGGGCTGGGTGGTTGGGCAAGTGCCTGAAGGGCTGGCCTCGTCACCATGGGGAAGTGACCTCACTCAGAGAGTTTCAAAGAAGTGTCCCCATCCCCCAGCTGCCCAACCCCACAGCCAGGCTTCTGTGTAAAGGGTTCAGCTGGGCAGGACAGCTCGCCAGCATCCAGGCCAGCTGTGTGGGGACCTAGTCTGACCTGAGATGCCTGTCTAGGTTGGGGGCCTCTCCCCAGCTCCATGCGAATGCCAGATGCGGCCTCTTGGATAAATATTAGTAAACTTGGCTGGGATTGATGCTGTCTGACGCCACTAACCTGCCAGCCTGCGCAGAAGCTAGCAGGGCTCCTCCTGGTCTGAGAAGCAACCCCTCTGGCCTTGAGGGCTGTGGAACTGCCCTTGAGTCTGGACCCAAAGGGCTGCTATGTGATCCTGGCTGAAGCACTTCGCCTCTCTGAGCTGTCCTTCTGGGGTGGCCATGAGGCAGAAATGAGGCCACACAGGCTAAGCACCCAGCCAGGTCACACCAGCCTCCTGAGGGTGCCAGCTGTACCTCCCTGCCAGATCCCCTCCCTCCCCAGCACCCACCAGGGCTGAGCTCTGGTGGGCATGCTGCATACCCTCACCCACCAGCACCTGACCAGAAGCTGGGGGCCCTGTCTCCATCCCCTGCTGGAGGACCTCTGGCTCCTGGCTGTCAAGTGGCTAGAAGGGTATCCTTTACAGATTCTACTTGGGGCTATGTCACAGCTTTGTGTCCTCCTCATTGCTAGCCCCAACAGCCCAAGAAATAAGCAACACTGTCCCTACCCTCCAGAGGGGACCCTCAGATGGTCTGCCTGGGCATAGGGACAGGGCCCCTCCTTGGCAGTGCACCTTGGTATGTCACTTCTCCTCTCAGAGCACCTGTAAATAGGACAGTTGCTCCTCTGGCCATTACTAGGGCTGGAAGTCCTCTGTGTCCTGAGCATCTCCCAGGGTCCAAGTGGGTCCCTGCCGGCTTGACCAAGCACAACACGAGACCAGGAGGTCACACAGCTATGGCGGCAGCCAGGAGTCAACCCAGAGCTCATCAGAACAAGTGACAGTGGGCTTTGCCTTGGTGGCCGCCTCCCCTGTGTACTTCAGCCAGGGGGGCTGTCACTCCACCTCCAGGCTTGAGCTTGTCTCTGAAGGGAACAGCAAAGGGAGGCCTGAGAGGGGTGGTAGGAAGCCACTGGGGAAGGGGCTCCTAGCTCTCTCCTGCACCATCTCCCTGTCTAAGCTCTAGGCTGGTTGCTGTCCCATGGGGCAGTGAGTTTCCCAGCCTCCCCTGAGAACAACAAAGTTGAAAGCAAAGAGAGGGGCTTTACTTGGTTTATGGGCTTGTCCTTTTCTGAACTCCAAGGGTTTTGTTCTTCCTATGGGTTCCCTGGCACTTTCTCTTTTATTTTTTTCCCAGGTAGGTACTGGAGTGGGGGTAGAAAACAAGGGTGCTCTACCACTGACATACATCCCCAGCCCATTTTAAATTTTTTTTTAAATTTTGAGATAGTCTCACTAAATTGCCCAGACAGGACTACAACTTGTGATCCTCCTGCCTCAGCCTCCCCTAGTGCTAGAATTAGAGAAGTACGCCACTGTGCCCTGCTACTCTGGCACTTTCTGTCCCTTCTGTCCTCCCCCCACCTGCTGTCTTTTCTCCCTAGGCCCTATTCTTTACCTGGGAGGTGGGATCAGAATACCTACATTGGGGTGTTCTCCAGGTTAGACACCATGCCTGGCAAATGGACACCAACTGGCCCTTCAGGCTTTCTTGGGGAACACATTCCAGATTGCTCCTCGGGAGAATGAGGTTCATGTCCCTTCCTCTTCTTCTCTGCTCTGGGATCCAGCCCCAGCCAGGCACACAGAGGGTGCTTAAGCGATGCCAAGTGTCTGGAAGGCCTGGAACAAAGCTCCACTGACTGATCCCTGGTGAGAAGGCAAGCTGGTGGGTGCTGGGGGCTCCAGGCAGGGTGCTGAGCACCCATCATGGTTCTTCTCTGGCGTCCCCACTCCCCAGAGGAGTTCTTGCCCAGCCTCACTGCTTGCATCCTAGGACCCCTGAAGGACAGTACAGGCCCCGCAGAAGCTGAGTGAGAGACCCCGGGGAGAATCACAGCCTCCCCACATCTAATGCTGGGATCCCTCCCACCTGCTAAAGGCTGGTCAGTTGGATGGGATGCCTGCAGTGACAGGGAACTCACTATCTCTTAGCCAAGGTTCCTGCTGGGACTCTCTTGCCATCCTCCCACCCTCTGGTGAGCTCACTCAGCACCAGGCAGGGCGGCTGCACTGACAGCAGTGTGTGTCCATGTGTCTGCGCTCCACAGCCAGAATCCTGGCTCAGCACAGCTCTGCGCCTTGTCCACTCTGCCCTCTACCCTCCTAGGGTCCTGCGGCTGCACAGGTGGGGGGACCCCTGGGTAGCCACCACCTGGATGCCATCTACTGAAGCTGGCCCTGGGCTCTCAGTTAAGCTGCAGGGTCTTTTTATTCCTCCAAGTGACCCTGAAAGGCCAGGGTTCCAGCTGCACCTTAGGAGGGCAGGGGGCTTGCCCAGACACGTGGGGAGAGTGGGGCATGGTTTTAGGCTCTGCTGTCACTGTTCTGAAATTTTTAATACCTTTTGAACAAAGAGACCTATGCTGTTACTTGGCACCAGCCCTGGAAATGATGAGGGGAGAGGGGGTGACTGATTCTTATCCCAGCCTCTGAGTGGGGGCGCTGGAAGCTGCCTGGCCCATAGGGTTGGCTGAACCTTTCAGCAGCAAGGAAGGTCCGCTGAACCTCCCACCCCCACCCCTGGGAACCCAGGAGGAGCTAGCGTTGGCTTCCTGCTCCAATTAAACCCTTTAAAGGAAGAGGGTAAATAAAACCGACCAGGTGGTGACTCAGCCACCCTCACCCGCCCCGCGCCCCAGGCTGGTCCCCAGGGTCTGCCCCGCACTCCTCGCACCCCTCTGCTCCCGGCTCGAGGCTCTCGGACCTCTGCGTTAGGGTTCTGCGGCCCGAGAAGACTCTCTCTGTTCCGAGGCTGAGCATTGAGGGGTGCTGTTCTCACCCCTCTCCTGTGCTGTCTCCTTTAGTAAGGGTCACTATCCCCCTTTAACAGAAAAAAACAGGCTCGGGGAAGGGAAGGGGTCCCTCCAGGCGCAGTCTCTGAGTGGCAAGTTGGAAAAGCCTGCGGGGAGGCGGGCAGGGTCACTTTCGGAGAGGGTTTTGGAGGGTCCTGGCAAGTGCCCCCGAGAGGGACTGGGCAGCCAGGGTTTGGGAGGAACACGGGCACCTGCGACTGTCCTCCCCTAGGATCTCTGAAGAGGCAGGGCTGGATTTCGGGGAGCCTGGGGATGGGGGTCTGAGCCCTACCATTTCCCCTCCAGGACTGGGACGCGAGGGCCCTTCCCGGGGCTTCCTAGCGCGTGAGTCACCGCGGGCAGGGCCAGCTGCAGCGCATTCCTCTGCGAAGCCGGCGCCCGAGCGGGTGAGGACAGCGAGTCGTCCCACTGGGTCCAGCACCTGGAACGTCGGGGGGCTAGAGGGGCGCAGGTCGCAGGGACAGAGGGGCAGACCCGGGTGGATCAGGGTACGGACCGGCTAGCAGCCCGCGGCGATCACCAGAACTAGGCCTGGCTGGGTGGGCACGGGGAGTGGCTTGCTCGGGGCGTGGCCAGGATGGGCGTGGCCTGCCGGGCGGGGCGTTTATAAGTGCCGCCCAGGGGCCTCCACGGTCATTGTCGTTCTTGCACCGTCTGAGCTTCAGTGCAACATGAAGACCCCCGGCGAAGTGCTGCGCGAGGGCGAACTGGAGAAGCGCAGCGACAGTTTGTTCCAGTTGTGGAAGAAGAAGCGCGGGGTGCTTACCCCAGACCGCCTGCGCCTCTTCCCCGCCGGGCCCGGTGCGCGCCCCAAGGAGCTGCGCTTCCATTCCATCCTCAAGGTGGACTGCGTTGAGCGCACGGGCAAGTACGTCTACTTTACCATCGTCACCACTGACCGCAAGGAGATCGACTTCCGCTGCGCGGGCGAGAGCTGTTGGAATGCGGCCATCACGCTGGCGCTCATCGACTTCCAGAACCGCCGCGCCCTGGAGGGCTTCCGCAGCCGTCAGGAGCGCGCCGCGCCCGCCGCGCAGCCCGAGCCCCGGACGGCCCGCGCGCCCTGAGCCCACGCCAAGGTGAGTGACGCCCCACACTGTCGGCCACACTCTGGCGCGCCCTGGAGGATGCAGGCTGTGACCCGCTCGCCGGAGGCCAGCATCCTTGGAGGGGGAAAATCTCCGGGAAGGGGGACCTCCCGCTGCCTTGGGGACAGTTTTGAAAGAGGCCGTGGCGCCGCGCAATCGTAGCATCTGGGGCGCGCGGCTGAGGCTGTCGTTTGCCCTCAGGGGATCCACAAGTGGCACCCAGATCGCTCCAGCACAGCTCCCTGACCCGGTCCTCTCTCCACAGAGTCACACACTGCACCAGTCGGGCAAGACCGGCCGTATGGCCGCGTCGGGCAGCAACCAGGGAGTACCCGGGACGGCAGGAGCCCAGGTGGGCCACCCACGCGCTGACCTCCTCGGGACAAGGCGGCCTCTTCCCCGTCCACCGCGGGAAGGGCCGCCCTCCGTGCTTGCGGAACCTCGCCTGCTGCGCGGGCACGTTAACTTATTGGACTGTGTATTTATTTTGATGGTTATTTGTCGTCAAACCGTGCTGTCTTAATATTTTGTTTTTGCACCAGCATCTCATTCCAAATAAATGAGTTGATTTGTTCTTTTTTCTACCAGTGGCTGTGGCTCCGTTCAGTTGTTCTGGAAGGGTTGGGGACAGGGACACCCTCATCTAGTCACAGCCTGGAGCTACTGCAGTCGGGGCTGGTCAGAAAGGGCATGGACATTTGAATGAATATCTACTGTCATCAGCTGGGCCAGGTCCACAGCCTCCCCAGAGGCCAGGAAGTACCCTGGGTGTGGCCTGGCTACCTTCTGCTCCTGGGTATGGCTTGGCAAGGACAAGGGTGGTGGCAGTGTTTGCTTGGGCAGTTCACTGGAGCTGGAGAGGAGGCAAGCACAGCTCCCCCCAGACCAGATCTGCTGCCAGAGGAGGTGGCTGTCCTCAACTGCACCTCCCACCCACACACCACCTGTCCAGCAGCGGCTGGCAGATGCACTGGAAGGCCCTCTGTCCCCATGTGCTCTTACTGACCCCAACCCAGGTTCTAGAGACCAGCTGCCAGCCCTAGTCACTGCTTTCAGGCCAAGGGGAGAAGCGGGTACTGTCTCCAGGGGCTGGCCCAGGACTGGGGCCTGGGGTTGGAAGGTTGGGCTCACTGGACCCAACCCGCTTCCTGAGCTTTCTGCCAGGGCAGCAACTTCTGCCCTCCCCCTCTTTCATCCTCTGTGAGTTCAGGGATCTAGAAAATTTGTGACAAGGTGCAAGAGGTACATCCCCCTCCCCTGCAAAGTCTATTGTTGATCAAACTGAAGAAGACAGCATAAGAGGGAACAGGACACTGGGTGTGTACCTTTGATTCCAGTGTTATCCTGGCTGGAGGGGTATGGTTTAGGAAGCAGAAGTGAGGACTAATATCCATCACTTACCCTCCACCCAAAGGAGGCTGTCACAAGCCTTCTAGCTGGGCCTCAGTGGGTAGGCTGGGGACGGGACTGTTTGTTGGATAGCCTTCCAGATTGCTGGGTTCACAGAACAACTCACTCTTTGTAAGGAATATTCTCCTATATATTTATTTGTGAAGCCCCTCTGCACATGGGGAAGGGGCTCCTCCGAAGAGCAGAAAATACTAGCCAGGGACTGACCTACCCTGCCTCCCACACAGAGTCCCACCTGGACCAATGACCCATGAATTGGTCCCCTGGTGGGATTCAGGGAGACACAGGGCCTGGCCTGGGGTCTTAGGCCAAAAGGGTTGATGATCTTGGCTCTCTGGGCTACCTCCCAGTTTGGGGACAACGGAATGCTGAGGTTTAGGGGTTCTAAGTTTTACTAGGTTTTTTCCAAAGGAGGTCAGTGTGGGGTAGAAGGCCTGCATGGTCTCAGGGCATTAGAAGCTTCCGTAGCTCCTGTTCATTGGCTGGTTTTCTCCAGAGTGGCCATTCGGTCTGCACACCCAGGTTGCCAGTGCCTCTTCTCTAGGCAGCCCAGGCACACCACCCTCCTGCCACCTCCACTGGCTCTCAGATCTTGTTGCCTTCCTGGCTTAGGGCTACTGTCCCAGGGTGCCCATCAGGGAGAGTCATGGGGAGATGGGCCAAGGTAGCATCCCCAGTGTAGTTCTGGGGCTGGAGAGAGTTGAGGTGTAACTGCTGGCTTCCCCAAAACATCCTCTTTTCAAGCCTTGCTTCCCTGATCTTTTAAACCAACCTGCTTGTGCTTATGGGTAGGGCATACGGTGGCCTGGAGGTGGGCAGCGGGAGGGTAGAGAGCTCCTGTCTCCAGGGCTGTGTGTGAGCAGACCTGTTTGGGGCAGCTTCCTCACTGACCAAGTTGGTGGAGTCAAGGGCTGATTAGACTTAGGAAGAACTGCGGTGGTTCTGTCCTCTCTGGAGCCCTGGGCCCCAGCTGCAGGCCTCCTCTTCCAGGAAGCCCTCCAGCCTCCAAGGCTCCATCCCTCAGCCTCAGGTTTCCTTCTGACAGAGAGCGGGAGCCTGGAGAAAACAGGTCAGATGAGGTCTCAAAGGAATTTATTGCCCATCTGTGCTCTGGGGCCATGGTCATCGAGCTTTGTCCCCCTTGTGGGACACAGGATTCCTCCAGAGGAATAGGAAGATTACGAAATTGACGGCGAGTTGCACATGGCCGAAGATGGGGACACCGAAGCTTCGGTACAGAAGGCCACCGATAGTGGGCCCCACGGTGCGGGTCAGCGGCTGCACAGAGGCACAGAGGCCCAGCATGGTCCCTGGGGGGAGGTGGTGACAGTTAGGCACCCACTGTCTAGACAGCCTGGCCTCCCATCCTTGTCCCACCCACATCCCTGCAGCCCAGTGTCCGCATTTCCTGGTTGGCATGAGATACCCCCCAAAGCACCCCATCTGTCCACCGTTCCTCACTTCATGTTCCATCCCTGCCTTTGGGGGATCTCTCCCCCCAGTGGTCCTTGGGGACCACTCAGCCATACAGAGGACCCTGTAGTGTGTTTCCCTGGGTGTGGGGCTGGGCTTCTTGCTCATTCCCTGCTCCAGAAAACTCCCAAGCATGGGAGGAGCCTGGGAATGGGGCCACAGGTCAGGGTGCAGGCCCCACCCTCCCAGGCCTGCCAAGGGAGATGGCATCTGCACCTGGGGCCAGAAGCCACCCGCCCAGGACATCCGGGGAGGTGGCTCACATGGCTCCTTCCCAGAGCCTGCTGCACTGAGCACCCAGGGACTGGAGTGTCAGGCATGGCCCATGGGTCCCGGGAGGGCAGGGAAGGTCTGGCTGGGCAGTCCTGTGAGCCACTGTAGGATTCTGGACTGTGGTTCTAGGTGGACACAACACCTTCACTGCCAGCCCCACAGCCTCTCCTGCCATCAGCCTCTCCTCCAGCCACTCTTGCCCCAGGGGCCCTCCTATAGACCCAGTGGCCCCCAACTGGGGACAGGGGAGGGGATTCAGGGAACACAGGAAGGGCTCCCTCTCTGCCTCTCCTGTATCTCCGGAGAGAATGCACCCCCTTTGCCAGCTCACCCTGCTTTGGGCGCCCACCTGAGCATGTGAGCAGCTCACTTGATGGCCCAGGTCTCCAGGCCTCTGGCCAGCTGTCCCAGGTCGACTTGCCTATGTGTGGCTGTTGTCAACCTTTGGACCGCATGGGGGGCAACATTCACCAAGCCAAAGCCCCTTTGCCTGATTCTGATGTCCCCGAGATCTGCTCCCCATGGACAGGGAGGTCTCTGGCTCTTGGGCTTTGGAGCCCAGGGCTCTTTAGAGCTCAACAGGGACAAGGGCCTGGGAGGCCCAGCCCACACTCAGGGCCAGCGTGGGGAAACTTAGGAGCAGCCTCTCCCACTGCCCACACGCCTGCAGACATGGGCAATTACCGCCTCCTCCGCGGCTCTGCTTCCCAGGCTACTGCCCAGCCAGGTATTTCTCCTTCCCAGCGGAGGGGTGGTGTCTAGGGCATGACTGGCCCTGGTGGCCTGGCCTGCTCCTCCCTGCCAGACCCAGCCTTCTCTCTTCAGGCCTTAATCCTCTGCTTCCTCCACCTAGTCTCTCCAAAGTGCAGGCTCGCTCCTCCAGGAAGCCTTCTGGGCACAGTCATCTGGAGACTGGCTGTCCTAGCACCATGGCGTCACAGGCCTGGAAGGACTTGAGGGCCTCAGCAGCCTTGAGGAGAGGCCTGTTCCTTTCTGCCCCTCTTGGGATGGCAGGTAGACAAGAGGTCATCCTGGCCCTTGTGTGTTCTGGCTGTGCTGCTGGAGACCTGGAACAAGCCCTGAGTCCCTTGACCTTGAGCAACCCGCAGAAGCTTCTGACCTAGCCCTAGTCTGGTTGGGGGACTCTCCTAGGCCTCCAGAAAGCTGGGAAGTCCTAAATCCCTCCGGCACTGTGTCCCGGAGCACTCACTCTGGGAATGCTGCACACTTGCAAGAGTTGGGGAGGGGAAGGCCATGCTGCTCCCCATCTGGCCCTGGCCCATTTCTCTGTCCTCCTAGCTGGCCTCAGCAGGACCCTTCACCTCCACACCTGTACTCGGTGGGGCCTGCCTAGAATGCTGTCCAGCTCTCCTCCTTTAGCGAAATCCTGCCCAGGTGTCACCGCCAAGCTACAATCCAGTCCCCAGTGCCCGCCTCCCCTGCCCCACCTGGTCCTGGACTGGTCAGCACAGCCTGGTACAGGATTGGGTAGTGGGCAGGGATGCCAGGCCACCCAGCTCCTGTGCATCCACCGGGCAGCTCAGCAGAATCCCAGAGGAGGACACGGCACTCACCTGTGTCTGTGGCCGAGACAGCCTTGGTCAGCATGCTGTCAGTGACCACATTGAGCGCGCAGAGGCTGAACACCAGGCCAGGCATCAGGAAGCAGAAGTGGAGGATGTTGGACATCAGCGCCTGGCAGGAGGGCAAGGAGCAGAGCCACAATTGGCAGAGGACGCCCAGGGCCAGACGGAGGCCCACCCCAAAGCCCCATCTCTTCCCCTCCACCACGGCTGCTGCTACCGGTACACGTGACCAGGAGGGTCAGGACCCACTTCTCTGTGGGGACAGCCCGAGGTGGGAGGCACTCACCATGGCCAACCCCACCACGACGAAGACCAGCACACTAGCTCGGAGCAGTGCTTCCTCCGAGAAGCGTCGGCTCAGCCGCCCGATGACCAGGCCCTGGATCACCTAGGCACAGCGAAGGGGTGAGGTGGCTGTGGGGACACTGTGTGGGGGTTTGGACTACGACCTGCTCTTTCACAGTGGCGGGACCTCCAGACTGGTGGCTAGGACCTTTCTCCACAGAGAGTGCCCCCACCATCCACAGCCCCCGAAAGGAGCTGAGTCCAGGCAGAAGGCCGAGCCTCATGGTCCTCAGGAGACAGGCTGGATTTGCTAGAGGGTGGAAGGAAAGTCCACATGGAGGACACCCAGGGACACGGGGATATGACTCAGCAGGACACCCTTGGGCCACTCCCAGGCGAGGGTGAGGCTCCCTATCTGGTCATCTCACCTCCACCAGGCAGGAAGCGCCAAGGGCCAAAGGCCAGGGGAGGAGTGGCAGCCACAGGCTTGGAGCGGAAGGGGTGGCTGGGGTCAGGGTCTGCCAGGGCAGGGCTCACATGGGGCAGGCCCAGCCCGCCCCGCAGAACCTGCCTAGCCACTCTCTCTACTTCTGCCTAGCATAACCCACTACTGCCAGCGGAAATCCATCTTCACAGGGAATCTTTGGAACTGGGTGTGGTGGCGCATGCCACCAATATCAGCACTGGGGAGGCTGAGGCAAGACGATTGCCATGAGTTTGAGCCTGAACTATACAGTAAATATAAGGCCAGTTTGAGCTACATAGCAAGACCCTGTCCCCAAAAAACCAAGGCAAAAAAAAATCTAAAAACCTTTAAAAGAAAAAAAGAGAGAGAAAGGAAGGAAAAGAAAAATCCTCAGCTGTACTCAGTGGCACACACCTGTAATCCTAGCACTCTGGGAGACTGAGACAGAAGAATCGAAAGTTTGAGCTTAGCCTGGGCAATTTATCAACTCAGCGAGACTGTCTCAAAAAAAAAAAAAAAGTGGGCATGTAGCTCAGTGTGAAGACCTTAATGTTCAATCCACAGTACAGGAGGAAAAAAGAATTTTACTTTCAAATTTAAGCTTTATCTTATGCTTGTACTTGTTTTTCAGATTTTTGTTTGTATTAAAGACAGCTCAGGCTAACTTTACACTTACGCCATTCTCCTGCCTCTGCCTCCTGAGTGCTGGGATTCAGGTGTGTGCCATGGCTCTTGGCCCTGTTTTTGTTTTTTAAATGTAGTGCAGTACACCTGCCAGGAAAGCATTAGACTACGAAAGATTAAAATCTTGGCATTTCAGACAAGCACCAAGACCCAAATCCCAGCTGGAGCTGCATCTCAATTCTCCATTAATTGAGAAAAAACTTCAAAGTACATGCCCAAAACTGAAGGTACCTAAGGCCAGGTGGGTCACTTTCTTGCACCCTCCCAACTGTCCTCCTGCACCTGCCCCAAATAGTCACCTAGCCTGAAGGCATCCCTGCCTCTGTGCCTGCCCCTTCTGTATATAGCAGTCTAAGCCAGAGGAGTCCTTCCTCTTCTCTGACCCATCCACCCCACTGAGGAAACCAGCACACATATCACCCAAGTCTGGTCCTGTCCACTCAGGTCGGCTAACCTCAGGGCCTTTGCACTTGTCCCCTTGCCCCCTAGCCTGATGTCCCCACGGCTTCTTTACCCTACCTCAACTGCCCCACCCAAAGCAACACCTCTGGACGTGCGACCTGACACAATGTGGGGTGGGGACATCTCCCTCCCTATCACAAGGGCCCCACTTAGCACCCCTGTACCTCTGTGCTGCCCCTGCCGATGCTCTCTGAATGACTGGAACAGCCATGGGTGAGGGCAGGTGGCTGGGCCACCATGGGTCTCTGTCCAAATGTCTCTTAGGGGACAGAGGTCTGCAAGCCTGTGGGGTCCATGGCACCTTTTCCTCACCTTAGACCATTTGAGTGCCACTCTCCCACCCAGTGGGAGCCTTGGTGGGATGCTGGGCCCCTGGGAATGTGCAAAGGCAGCAGCACCTGGAGTGGGGCAGGAAATGATTTGCAGGGAGCTGCAGGCCCAAGAGTTGGAGACCAACTCTCGGGGAATATTCTATTCTTCACAGTACTGGGGACTGAATCTGGGGCCTTTGCACTAAGCTACATGTCCAGCCCTTTTTATTATCTTTTTATTTTGAAACAGGGTGTCACAAAGGTGCCAAGGGTGGGCTGGAGCTTGCGATCCTCCTGGCTCAGCCTTGCAGAGTGCTGGGATTATAGACGTGCACCACCACGCCCACCTAAACTCTTGGGGGCCTTCAGTGACCACCTCTACCTTGATAGGGTGGGAAGGTGCCTGTGAAGGGTGCCCTCAGGATTCTCTCGGCAGACACAAAACCCACCCTCAAACCCCGCACCTCTGCCCACCGACAGAGCTCGGGACAGGACTTGGGGCCCAGGCTCTGGGACACCCTGCTCCTCTGTGGGCTCCCTTCCCCGCCAGCCCCCTCTCCCTGTTCTGGCCTGTGCTTGGGGCTCCAGGCCTGGCCCAGTTGCTTTTCCCATCCCTGTGTAGCTCTCCTAGGTCACCAGCCTACCATAGTCATAAGGCTGCAGCCCCAGGCAGCCAGGCAGGCCCAACTCCCTCCCCAGCACTGACCAGGGACTTCCAGTCCCCATCCCTAGGGGTCCCCAGGGGACTGCAGACTCCAGCTGCCACAGGCGTTGAGGCCTGGCTCCAGGGAGGCTAGGAACAACCTGTTTAAAACAAGGTTCCAGTGACCGCCAACCTTGGCTTATCACCACTGTCATTGTTTATCTCTTTTTTTCCCAACAGGGTGGCCCCTCTGGGTTGGTCTCAGAGCAGAGGCCTTCTTCACCCACAGCAGAAATCAGCCCCTCCCAGAGTGGCTATTTTAGCACCAGGGTCTAGGCCAGTCCTGGGCCCAGAGGCACAGGGAGCAGATGGCTTGGAGGTGCCAGGAATGCCACACGCTTCCGGAGGGATCCAGAGCCCCTCCCCTGCTGGTCCCAGAATAGCCCTTCTCGTGCCGGCTGTCAGGCAGACGCCCTGGCCCCAGCGACAGCCTCGGCGGCATGTCGCCACCTGTCTCTAGCACACCAGGGTCTGGTCAGATGCCCAGGAGGGGTGGGGTGGGGCAGCAGGCTTGGGCAGGAATGGCCCTGGACTGGGAGCCAGGGGTTCTGGGGGGCTGGCAGAGAGGGTGCTGCCCTCCCTACCACCTCTAACTGCTCCAAGGGTACCTTGTGAGCCCAGCCTGTCAGAGGGCCTTGGCAATCTGTGAGTGTGACAGCACAGTGACCACGTCTCACTTCAGGGATCTCCTGTGACACTCAGCGCTTTGCCATTTTAGCTCACTGCATTTGACCGCCAACCCCTGGGGTGAGCCCCATGGTTAGCCTCGTTTGACTGCAGAAATGGAGACATGGAGAGTTTGGGAAACCTCCCCCAGTCACAAGGCTGGGGGGCTCAGGGGCAGGATGCAGCCCCCCTCACAACACAGAGCCCTGAGCAGAGCGGGCAGCCCCCTCGGGCTACAGTCGCTCATCCCTCTGTGCCCTGTCCACTGCTCAGCACCCGGAGGTGCAGTGGGCTGACCATGGAATGATGTGCTGCCAGACGCTGCAAGAGCTCAGCAGCCTCCATGGAGACGGACCTCCCCTCCCAGACAGGACCCCAGGCAGACGGTGTCAGTGCATGGGTTAGAGACCCCAGGCAGTGTGAGCCCAGGTGGGGTGGCGGGGCTGAGAGGAGCAAGAATGTTCTGATACGGAAGAGGCCAACTGTGCAGATGCTGCAGAAGGTGTGTGTTGCAGGGGGACAGCAGGGGTCTTTCCAGGAAACTAAGTCAGCCAGGCCTCAAGGACCCTCCTGTGAGTGCCCCTCCCCTGCCCACCCTGCAGTGCACCCTGTGACACAGCCCTCGCTCACCATCTGGAGGATCCCGAAGAAGGACATGAGGTAGCCAGCCTGGGCTGCCTCCAGCTGGAAGAAGTCCATGGAGATGATGGAGAACATGATCATGAAGAGCCCTGAGCAGAGCGGGCAGTGAGGGACATTGTGGGTGTCCCCACACGCCTGCCACAGTGCCATCTCCTCCTGCCTCCTGGGGAGGGAGCTTGTCTGGTCAGCGAGGGTGCCTGGGGCCCTGGCCAGTAGCTGGGCCAATGAGACTCTTCTCAGGGATTCTACCAGGCCCCGGGCATGGACAGTGGCTCCCTGGGGGCTGCTGAGCTACCGACTGTGAGCTGGAAGGGGAGACCCAGGCTGGCCATGGAGAGTACCGGACCCCAAGACCCGCTACAGCCTCCCGGTCCTATGAGCCTGCAAAGGCTCCTTTCACTCAAGTGGGGCCTTGGGTTCCAGTTACTGTAACTAAGGCCCTAGATGGGGCAGATGAATAGCAGCAGGCTGCTTTCAGTGGGCAAGGTCTGGCCAGGCCTGGGCTGGGCTGGGCACTACTCTCCTGTCTACCTCTTGCCCTACCAGGCTTCAGCACCAGTTTGTAGAAGCCACAGAAGAACTTTCTGCTTAGCTTAGGAGGAGCTGGCCCTTCTGAAGGTGATCTTACTCAAGTGCCTGTTAGAGGACCCAGAAGGGCTTCTGAGTGACAGCATTGCTACTGGGCATGTCTGTGGCTGGGTGGACAGATCAGTGCTACTACCCTAGGGTCACCAAAGGGGCATGGGGCTGTGTGTGTCCCCTCCAGAGGCTGGGACAAAGGAGTCTCTGGGAGGCGTGGGCACTGTCAGACTTCCTGTCTGGCTCTCTGCCTGGCCCAACAGCACGCAGAAACCAAAGGGGGTGGGCAGTCAGATCTGAATGTTAAGTGGAGGTGGGGACAGGGGACACTTTGAGCAAGTGATCCTTCCTTGGCTCCCCCGGGCTGTGACCTGCAGGGGCTGCAGGGAGGACACCAGCGTTTCCCTCCTCTGTCCCACCTGAGCTGGTGCACTCTCATGAGCCTACCGCCTGTGTCCCTCTCAGGGGCAGGCGCAACTGCAGCGTGGTGGAGACGTAGCGATGACAGCTTGGGGCACAGGTGCGGGCAGAGGGAAGGCATGATGGCCACAGACCTCCGCCCTCAGGCACCAGGCCCTGGATGCCCTTGGGGAGTCTGGACTCACCTGAGGGGAAGCCAGAGGCCACCTTCACAAGGAACACGGGCAGGACACCGGGCAGCAACAGTAGGCGGGTGATAGCTTTCAGGTCGAACACGCTGAGCTTGGGTGCACCTGGGTCACGCAGGGACAAGTCAGAACAGAGGGTGGCCCTGGCCTGGCCTGAGCTGTAGACTTCAGCCCTCCGTGGGTTCTCTGACCAGAGAGGGAGCTGAGTATACTCCATAGCCCCCTTTACCAGCAGGGTGGGCACGGGGCACTTTGTGACATTCCTACCCATCCCAGTGACCCTTGAATTCCACAAGGGGCTCAAGGGATACTGTGTTAGTGCTGAGATAAACTGGCCTGGACCTGGGCCCAAACCAGGGAGTCCTCAGTCCCCCAGTCTGTGAGACCAGGGCAGCAACTCCCAGCCCAGCCAGACGGGTGACAGGACAGGTCGGAGGGTGGCTATGCCCAGCAAAGAACGCTCTGTGGCCTCCCAGAACTGTGTTCCAGCCTCCCCACTGTGCTTGGAAGTCTCCTCGTCCTGGGCTCCTCTCGGGCCTTCACAGGCTCTGCTCCCACCCCAGCTCTAGCCCTGCCTCTCCCTGGGCCATTCCATCATGGCTTCCTGTCCCAGCTGGCTCTCAGGTTAGGGTCCTCCCACCTCAGACGGGCTCTCAGGCACAGGGGCCCGCTATCTGACAGGTCATCATGGAGACCTGTGAGGAGCCCCCCAGCTCACCCTGCTCCTGCTCTGGCCCCCAGGGCTGCATAGTGCTCTCTGCCCAGCACCCACCCCACCCCCATCACTCTGGACACTCAGAGCCTCAGCAACACTTCAGCCCACCCTGCCCTGTGCCACATCCTTCCTGGCCTTCCCCAGGCCATTCTAGCCCTGTGCCTAAGGCCTCCCTGGCCTCGGGCCTCCACCACCGACCCCCACAGTGACACCCAGCTCAGCTCCCCAAGTGTCGGCATCAAGAAGGGGTCAAGGGAGGCAAGAGGGTGTGGGTGGCTCCCAGCTGGGCACCACCATCCCCATGCCCTAACGCTGGGGCACACACTGCTCAGCAGATGGTGGGGAAAGTGCCTCCCTCTGGCCCCACCTCTGCAGGTGGATCTGGCAGAGTTACCTGGCTGGGCAGCCTGGGCACTAACACTGGCCCCTTTGGTGCTGGCAGGGATGCAGGTGAAGCTGAGGACGGCTCCCAGGAGGTTGGCCATGGAAGCCACAACGGCCGGACAGTGAAGCCTGCAGGAAGAATCTGACGTGGATCCCTGGGCACAGGCCTCAGCTTCCAGAGGTGCTCAGTCCCAGCCACCCAGGTCCCTCTGAGACCCTTGGGACACGCTGATTAGGTGACAGACAAAGGAATGGGTGAGTGCTGGCCTCAGTGGCCCTCCCCCAGCCTCCGAGTGTGGAGGTGACAGAACCCGAGACTGTGAGCAGTGGGAGGGGCACAGGGCTGGGTGGGTGGACGAGCCCAGGGCCAGGGTGAGGCCTAGAAGACAAGCCTGGGGTGTGTGGCCCTGGGGAAGGGCTTTGGAGACCAGGGGGCTGACAGCATTACAGGAGGGTCACATGGGCCCTCACCAGAGATGAGATGACAGGTGGGCACTTAGAGGTCCCTAAGAAACTCCCTGTCTCCTTCCCCCCATGTCCTAGGGGGTGACATGCTGGGCCTGGAGATCCCGAGCCTCCCAGTCCTCTGACGCATCCCGCAGGCCACCTTCCCTCCTGCCTGTGACACTCCCCTCCGTGCTCACTTCAGAGAAGGCATTACCACCAAGAGTCACCAAACAGCTGCGACTTCAAGAGCAGGCCTTGTCCCCTGAGGAATATGGAGCTGGCCTTTCTAACCTCACCACTGCCTCTAAGGCCCAGGCCCACCCTATCCCAGAGAGGAGCAAAATAGGCACACTAAGCCAGGCTGAGGCCTCTAGGCTGGAATGCCCTCCTCCTTCTATTCACCTGGCAAGGGTCCTTTTCAGTGAAGCCTTGGCCCTTTCCCCCGACTTGCCCCCAGTCCTCTGTGGGGGATGTGCTTTACAATACGGTCAAAATCTGGGTCCTGCAGGCAGGTGGGTCTGAGTCAGACTCTGCCCTGAGGGGCCAGGGCTAATATGAGTGCTGTTCACATGGACAGCCCGAGTTCTGTCCCAGAGCTCACCAGCGTCCCTAAATCTGCCCTGATCTGGACCCTAAGGCACAGACCTACTGTGGTCAGGGTCCTGGAAGTACCCTTGAACTCCCAAACAAGGCCGTCCATGAGCTGCCAGTGCCGCTTCAAGGGGGTCATCATCTTCCCCATGGCTGTACACACATCCGCACACACACACCACACATGGACACATACACACCCCTCTGCCACAGCTCTGAGTGAAACCTATGCACACAGGCCACCAAAACAAAGGCCAGGCCTCGTCCAACCTTGGCTTCTCAGCTGGGATTGCTGGGCTCCTGTGGTTAGTGGAAGGGGTGCCCTGTGTCTATCTGCTGCTCCCCCTGACCCAGGGCAACACTGTCCCCATGCCCACTGCCCAGGAGATAGGATATTTGGACATCGGGCGCCAGGGTTCTTCAGGGATGTGCCCCTCCACTGACCAGCAGGCATGAAGGGCCAGAGGGCACTGGACCTGAGTGAGGCCTCTTGGAGCCTCAGGGGCTGCAGGAAGTGATGTGAAACAAGGAGACCGCGCTCCCCGTGACTGGCCCCAGAGAGAAGGGCCTTTCTTCTGGACTCTGGCCTCTGCAGCCTAGACGTCACTGCTCAGAGCTGGCAAGACAGAGACAAAACTTGCTTTCTTTGCCAGATGCCCCGGAAGCGCCAAGAGCAGAGGCGGCCACTCAGATGGCTATTTCGGGAAGCTGGTGACAAGCGAGGGGAGGTGGCAGGGAGCCAGGCCCCTTCTCCGTGGATCTTGCTTGTCCCCTGAATGGTGGCCAGCAAACCAAGGGCCAGTGCTGCCCTGGGAAAGCTGGGTGGAGGGGCTGGGGGACCCTGGAGGGATTGAGGGGAGGCTGAGCCCACAGCTCCCCTAGAACTGAAGTCAGCTGCTGCCTGGGGAAGCTGGCATCGCTCTCTCGCCCCGGCAGAACGAAATGCCTGACAAGAAACCAGAACAGAAGGGAAATTCTTGCAGGGTGGCCTCTACTCTGGGGCCTCTGTGTGCACACCTCTCCTCCAGAAACACCCTTCCAGCTCTGTGCCTCCCTGCACAGCGTGGTGTCTCCCCGGGGAACTCTGGGTCAGTGCACCAGAGACCTGCCAGGTGCAGGGTGAGACCGGATGAGGCTCCAGGCCGTGCCTGGCTTTTCTTGGCTCAAACTACACTTTTTTGTAAATTGAGCCAAAGCGATGTAAACAGGGACAGTGTGGTTCGTCTCTGCCCAACTCCTGCCCTTTCTGTTGGTTGAATAGATGGGCAGGCCCCCAGGGACCCAGTCCCTCCTCCTTCTCTGGCTACGCCGCTGGGTGACCTCATTTCCTCAGGGGCAAATGAGGGCTGGACTCATAGTCCTTCCTTCCCTCCCGGAACACCCTGGCATGCTGGAGTCCAGCCCACCCTATCTCCTGCCCGCCAGCTGCCCAGGGAGGCCTCCAGCACCTGTAGCCACACCTCTGGCAAACAGCAGTGGCAGCGATGGCTGTCTGTCATCCTTATCTCCAATGCCCAGTCTGTGGCACCATCAGCAGGGTGGCAGGCTGCCCTGGGCCTCTCCCGCTTGGACTTTGCTCCTGTCCCTTTGCCCAACTAAGTCTGGGCTCCTGCCCAGCTCTTGGGTGATGATTCCTCACCAACCTGGCCCTTTTCCCACTGGCTCTGAGAGAGCTAACCCACAGCCTGGCAAGGGCCTCCCAGCTGTGCACTCTTCTTTTGTCTACCAGAAGGATGGGGTGGGGTTGCCTGGGACCCTAATTTCACAAGACGCCTGGCCTTCAAGGAGCAAGAGTAGGGGACTCCAAAAGCCACTGGACATCCAGCCTGGGGACAGGAGAAGTCAACCTGCCCCACAAGTCCACGCCCCACAGTGTAGGGGTTAAACCATGTCTGAAATCCAGGGGCCACTGCTAACAACCCCCTCCAGCTTCCAGGGCCCAGAGGCTTCTCTGCCCAACCTTTCCGGGCCCAAGTGCTCTCCCAGCCTTTATTCCCCCCATCACACAGGGCTCCAATGGAACTGCCAGCTCTCTCCTGCCCAGAGCCTTTGCACAGGCCTTTCCCTCAGCCTGCAGCACTGCCCACCCAGCGTCAGGACGTCCTGTCCCCACTCCACCTTGTCCCTGGACCTCCTGTCTTGTCTCTGCTCAGCACTCAGAACAACAGTGTCTTTCTGTTCTCCCCCAGGCCTGGTTCTGGTCTAGCCACACAGTGGCATGGCCTCAGTGAGCTGATGTGGAGCAGGCTGCCTGGCTGGCCCTGAGTCACTCCTGTTTCAAATCCTGTCCAGGGGAACTCGAATGGTCTCACTGACCTCGAGGGGAGCTGGGTATAGTGGAGCATGCCTATAATCCTAGCATCGTGGAGGCTGAGGCAGGAGGATCACTGTACATTCCAGGCCAGTGTGGACTACATAGAGATCCTGCCTCCCATAACACAAATGAATAAGCCCCCCATCCCCCAAAAAAATAACCTCCAGGGGAAGAGGCAGTGTCTGTGTCTGGGGGTGGAAGCCTCTTCTGAGCAGAAGACTTTCTGTCCCTCACCCAGACACAAGGGCCTGGGATAAGGTCTCAGTGTTAGGGAAGCCCCTGTTCTGTGGCCTCAGGGACCAGGCAAGGTGTTCTGATTCACCCCAGGCTCTGTGGGTGTAGCTCAGGGCTGGAGGCCACATAGAGCCCTTGATCCCCAGGAGGGCCAGCAGGTGGCCACTCTCAAGGGGCACCTGACCTCCAAGGTCTGTAGCTGGATGCTCCCCCATCCCAGCTCTCATATTCTCACCAGGCCTATGGTATCTGTTCAAATATCAACCGCTCTCGGGGCTGGGGATTTACCTCAGTGGCACAGTGCCCGCCTGGCAAGCGGGAGGTTGTGAGTTCGATTCCCAGTACTGGAAAAAAACCAACCCCCCCCCCCCAAAAAACAAATATCAATCGCTCTGGCTGAACAGATTCCTCTGGGGCCTGAGAGCTAGGAGAACTGGGCCTGTGACTTGCTGCATGACCATGACCATGGCTAGCCCTTGCAGAGGGTGAAGGTGGGTCTCCTCCAGCTCTGACCCTGGGCAAAAGGGAATCTCCCCACCTCACAGCCAGCTCTGAGACTCAATGCCTCAACAGCCCATCCTCCTTGGGTCTGGCTGGTCCAAACTCCAAGCAACCTGTCATCTGCATATGACAGTGGCTGTATGCCATATGCAAACAAGCAGGTAAAGTGCTGCATCCTTAGAACATATTTACAGGCAGGAGGCACCTTGGGCTTGGCCTGGGAGCCATAGGGGCCAATCCTCATTTCATGCAGTTACTTCTCAAGTCAGTAGCTGGGACTCTTTTCCTTTGATTTGCTCTCCTTTCCTTTTCCTTTTCCTTTCCCTCCCCTTCTTCTAGCTGCTCCAGCCCAAACCTGGGGTCCTCCTTGACTCCCACATCCATCCTCAGCAAGTTCTATTGGTGCCACCCTTAAATGGACCCAGGGTCTGGTGCTCAGGCTTCAATGACCCCTCCCTGGCCTGGCCTCCCTCCTCTACCACCCTTACCCAAAGCGCAGCCTCAATTTCCCGTAGGACCTATAGCCACAATGCACTTTTCCCCCAAAGCCATACCAGCCCATTCCCCAAAAGCAGAGACCTTATTACCAGTGTTTGCAGCTCCGTTAGCCCCATACACAGTGCCAGCAGTGGCCACTGGGACACTCAGGCCAAGTAGAGTCCTTACCATCCCCATCTCCCTTCTGGACCTTGTTCCTGCCCACTGGGCTCTAGTCACCCAGGTCCCTTGTGTCTTCTTGAATAGGCCAGGACATCCTGTCCACAGACCTGCATCCCAGCTGCTGGGCTCCCATCTCATGAGGACCCAAGCGGAAGGAACCCTCTGGCTCCACTGTGGCCCATGCTGTGCCGCGCAGGGGCAGGTACAGGACAGGGCTCCATAACCCTGTGCTGCGTGGCAGAGGCCTCTGGCTGAGGCCCTCCCCGAGTCCCAGGATCTGAGATGCTGGGCTTCTGGGCCATGAGTCACAGAGCCACTCCACCTGCTGGCTGGCGTGTGCGAAGCGGCTCTGGGCCCAGGTCCCTCCGTGGGCAGCCTGGCTTCCTAACCCCCAGCTGGGCCCAAACCAGTTATACCGGTACCTGCCCCCGCAGGCCCAAGTGCCAAACCCACTTCCTCCTCCCAGCTGCTGCCAGCTTAGCTGGGGTGGGCACAGCTGAGAGCCTTTCAGGGGGTGGGACACCCAGGCATGGGCCCAGAGGCTGCAGCCAGGGAGACCCCACATCATTAATTTCCCTTGAGGAGGTGGAGCAGAGGTGTGCTGCGGCTCTTCCCTCAGGCTGTGCCAGGAGGCACGGCAGGCTTGGGCCATGGGGCTGCTTGAGGGCAGGAAGCTGGGTGCTGGCCCTTGCCATGGGGCATCTGGGCCCTAGAGCCACCTCCTCTGGCCACCTTACCGATCAGACCAGGCCAGTGCTCAGACTCATCTGGCCTCAAAAGCAGCTAGAGGTGAGGCAGCACGACTCAGGGTGAGGTCTGGGACAGATGCAGAGCTCTCAGCCAGGTCGCCAACAGTGGCCCTCTATGCCTCCTCGCCCACTGCTCCGGGCACCTGGGCTAGGGGGTCAGCTTTGGCCACGAGGGAACTCCAGTGGCCCCTGTCTTTGGTGTGGAGTGGTGACCCCAACTGTACTTTACACACAGCCCCAGGCCCGGGCCTTGCGCAGCCCGCTTTCCTGGGCCTTGGTTTCCTTGCTTACCAGCGGAGATGCTTAGTTTGGCCTCACCATATATAAATGTGGAGGTTATAAAGGGTCTCAGATCTGGAGATGAAAGGAGGCCTAGAGGTCCTGCTTCTGCACACCACTCGCTGAGCACTCTCCGGGTCTGCAGCATCGGTGATCCGGCGAGGGAGGCAGGCCCAGCTCACAGGTAAGGGACCGTATCTTGCCCAGGGCATCAGGTGGGGGACCCGAGGTAACCCCGTCTGTCAGGACCTCACAGCTCATGAATGGGGTAGCATGGGGAGGGTCCTGAAACCAGCTGGTGCCCCCCTCTGGCTTCAGCACTGGGAGCCGGTCGCACAGCCACCCCACCTGCTGGCCACCCAGCTCTCCGCACTCCCTGCTGGAGAGATGGGGGCTTTTGGAGGCAGCTGCTCCCCAGCTCTTGCCCCCTGTAGGCCTCCCCTCATCACCAGGCCTCACACCCGCCTCCCTCCTGGCCTTCCCTGTGGCTTTACCAGGGGTGCAGCACCCCCAGGGGCCCTCAGCACGCAATGCTCAGGTCTCTTTCGGTTCCACGGATCCTCCCCAGGAAACTCTACCTGGACGCTTCTGCTCCCCGCAGCATGAGTCCCCTTGGTCCACCTGCCTTTGCTGCCCCTCACTTTTCCTTTCCCCCAGCCCCATCTCTCCAGCCAGGCTTTGGAGGCGATTATCCACCCCTGTGACGCGTCCTCGGCCACTGCTGGGCTGGGCTTGCTCGGGAACCCTGGACTCTCAGCTCCCTTCCCCTCCTACATGTGCAGTGCAGGCCGGCACCATCACACAGCGGGCACAGCCCTCCTGTCCCCCAGCTGCAGACTCCCTCGTCCTGCTGCCTGTGCTGTGGCAGCCCAAAAGCCCAACAGGTTCCCAACTGGGCCCTAACAACTCCCTGCCCAATTCCTGGCGGCGGCTCAGGCCACTCAGCTCCCCTGGGGTCAGCCTTGGCTTCACTGAGGGAGCTCATGCTCATCTTCACCCACTACCCAAATCAGGCCAGAATCTGCCGTCTCCCTTGTGGCCATCTGTGCTCCAACCATGCCCTGTCCCACTTGGACCATGCAGGATCCTGCCCCCGCCCTGTGTCCCTGAAGACTGCTTGCCTCCACTTCTCAGCTACAGCCTGGCCTTAGTCCCTCCTCCAGCCACTTGGGCCTCCTCATCCTGCACCCAGGACCTTTGCACATGCTGTCTCTCTGCTTCCTTTCATCTGCTTCTCATCCTCAGGGTGCCTAGTGACCACCTGTCTATCTGGTGGTCCTCAATCCTGGTTTATTCCTTTTTATACCACTTTCTCCAATCTGAAATTATAGCAACACCTTTCACTCAAGGGACATGTCATGTTTCCCCACTACTTTAGAACCTAGAATCCCAGGGACACTGACTAGATAGATGTTCAGTAAACATTAGTGAGTCAAAAAATAAATCCAGGTTCAGACGCAAAGGGTGGGAGAAGCTCCAGGACCCATTGCTAGAGATCTCCTTGCAAAGAGGAAGGTGCTGTAATGAGGCCAGTCCACTGCCTGGATCCTTGGGTTCAGCCATCACCCAGCTGCCCTCACTGTTGTTGGGGCACTTGGGAGCCCACAGGGGAAACCAGTCCCTGAGGAATCCAAGACCGGCGAGTCTGGAGGCAACAGGGTGCCTGCCGCACACTGAATGGCTCTCCCAAAGCATGGAGTGGGCTCAGACATCAGCAAGGCTCTCTACCCAGAAGAGAGCCCTAGGGCAGCGCACACAGGACCGGGGAGGTGGGCAGGCGCCTGCTGGCAGAGGCTTCTCTGGCCAGACAGCAGTGGTGTGGGCACCGGCCCCAGCACAGCCCATACCCAAACCAGAGGCTGGGGCCTGAGTGAAAGGGCAAGTGATGGAAGCCAGTGTAGTGCACAGGAGTTCTGGGGCGGGGCAATGGGATGGGAGTTCTCTTCCACAGCGAGCCGAGGCCCCTCCAGGCCCAAGTGTGCTGGGTCCAAGATTAAGCTCTTTTCCCAAGAGGTACACCTAGAGCAGCCGGTATAGATGCCACTGCAGGGAGACAAGGGAGGACTGGCATAGGTCCACCCCAGTGGCTTTGAGTCTGGGGCCTTTTGGGGTGCTGGGCAGGAGGTGAGCGAGGCAGGACAGGGCCTGGGATGAGCCCCATGTGCAAAGCTGGCGATGAACTCATTAACCTCCTCACTTGTCTGCAAGCTCCTGACAGAAAGGAGAAAATTCAGGAAAGCGGAACTGGGTATGCGCGGCTGGCGGATGACCCAGGGATCCTCGCCTCCTCCCTCCTTCGGGCCAATACTGAGCACTCAGAAAGGGGCCCTGCCAGGATGCCCTCTCTGGGTCGGAGCCACCTTTGAGCCTCCTGGCAGGGCTGGAATGGAACAACCCTCCGCTGATAGCTCTGAAAAGCAGGGCTGAGTGGCAGGAGGAACCTCCCTAGCCCTCCACACCCCTGGGCCACGTGTGCAGTCTTCTCCGGGCCCCTGTTGAAGGCACCCCAGCTGCGCTCAGGGCGCGGCCCGAGGCTCCAAGGCAGGGTCACGGCGCTCCCTAACTGCCACCCGCGTCAGGGCCCCGCCCACTTGGCAGGCTGAACCAACCTACCCCACCTGCAGATGGGCAAACCGAGGCTCACAGAAGCGACAGGCTGGGCAGATGAAACGGTGCGCGCAGACAGGCGCGGAAGCAGTTGGGACGACTGGTACCGCGCATCCGGTTCCTTGCCTTGGCCACTCACCCGCACGCTGTGCTCAGGGTCCCACCAAGCAGGGAGCCGAGGATCACGCCGACGCCGAAGCAGAGGCCGAGCCGGCCCAGAGCCGCAGGCCGCTCCTCCGGCTCAGTCAGGTCTGTGATGACCATCTGGGCGGCTGGGGGCGGAACAGGACCAACTTGTAGACTCCGGAGCAGACCCAGGCCCAAGCTGACGCCCGAGCTAGGGCCTCGCATCAGCCTCTCCAGCTGGACCTGCCTGCCTCAGGGCACGTCCCCCAGCGCGCCTATCTGCCTGCCTCAGTCCCTCCTGTACCCCAAAGTCCGCCCCAGGCCACACCCCTTTCCACCCCTCACACGCCCCTCCTCAAGCCACACCGTCCCGCCCACCGGTCCCCGTCCCCGCCCCCTGTTTACCTGGCAGAGTGTGCATGAGTACCGAGGGCAGGCGGGAGGCGAAGAGCAGCAGGACGCCCGGCAGGGCCGGGCTACAGGCGGCCGCCAGGAGCAGGTAGAAGGCAGTGGCCGCCAGGAAGGAGAGCGAGAGCGCTGCCCTCGCCCCGCGCTGGTCTGCAAACCTGGGGCCAGAGGGCTGGTCAGAAACCTGGGAGCAGGCAGGGAGCCCGCAGGCAGGGCTCCTTCCCCACACCCAACCCCGGGGCTGTCCGAGCAGGGATGGATGGGTGTGCTGTGGCGGCTGGGAAGGACAGGGCCCCTGCTGGCTGCAGAGTCTCTGGGGCAGACCTCTTGAGGCCTGTTTCCCCATCATCCCTGTGGGGCTGTGCAGGTGTGGCTTTGGTGAGCTGGAGGTGTCCAGCCCAGGGGGAATGGGGACCCCTATGGAAGTAATGGTGGGATGCTGAGGGGCCATGCAGGGCTGTGGTCCCTAGGAAAAACAGGTTCAAGGCTGTGAAGTCCGTCTGCCTCAGACACAACTGGCCACGTTCCCCTGTGCAGCTCTGTGGCAGTGAGGTCGGCCAGAGGATGTCTGTGGTCCTGTCTCCAGCCCTGAGTCCCTGCAGCACTGGGATTCATGAGAGCTCCCGCAGGGAGGGTCTCCAGAACTGTCTTTGCAGTAAAGTTGGTGGTGGGGCTCCCAGCTCAGTGAGCTGGACATGGCAGCCATGAGAACTGCACCAACTACATCTTCTCTCTGGCCACAAACCACAATTAGTGGCCACCATGGGCTGGAACACTTGAGAGCCTATAAGAGGTCAAAGCTCTTCTGTACCTTATTTGCCTGCCTGAAATGCAGGGGCTGCCACTTTATGGGGTGCACTTGGAGGTCAGGGAAGCTGGCAGGACCCCCTCTTGAGGAGGGACCCAGATCATCATGGGTTGAGGGACACACGATCCCCTTCCCTACTGTACCTGCCGAATATAGGACCACCCAGCAGCTGAAGCACCCCAAAGGTGGTCTGCAGGTAGCCAAAGGCAACAGGGTCCAGGCCTAGTCTTCGGGACAGATACTGAAACACATTTGGGGGACAGTGGAGAGTCTGAGAAGGGCAGGGATAGGAGGGAGCACAGGGCATGGCCTCTGATGTTTGCCAGTGCAGCCTTTGGGGGTCCCTTCCACAAAGACACAGAAACTTCTGTGTCGTGACCCCAAGAGGCTGCTGACCTCCTCCCCTCTGCAGGACTTGAAGTGTCCCACCCGCTACTGTTTGACTTTGTTCACTCAAAGCTTCATGGGGAAGACTGTAGCATTGTCCTGGCCAGGAAGAGACTGCTCCAGAGCACCTTAATGACCCCTAGGAGGTGGCCCACTGCCAGCAGAATACAGTCCTCAGCCCTTCCTAGGATGATGCCATCAGGGAGAAACAGGGCCATGGCAGTGTCCCGCCAGAGAAGGGAGTAGCGCCTAGGTCCCCAGTCCCTGATCCCATCCTGCTCTCATTCTCTCTGACTTTAATACCCCCATCTGAGTTCCTTGCCTCTCTGTCCTGTGAGCCCACCTAATATGGCTGAAATATGTCCCCCCTCCCCCCAAATTCGTAAGTTGGAGCCCTAACCCTCAGCACCTCAGAATGTGACCTTATTTGGAAACAGTGTCTTCATAGAGGTACTCAGATTAAATGGGGACTCCAGCATGGGCCCAATCCCATGTGGCCCTGTCCTTTAGGAGGGGAATGCTGGATACATACACAGAGGGATGATCATGAAAAGAAGCATGAAGAGGAGGTAGAGACTACAGAGATGAAGCCACAAGCCAAGGGATGTTGGGCCTACCAGGAGGTGGAGGAAGGAAGGAGCCTTACCCTGCACCAGCACCACTGGCCTCACAGAGAACTCAGCCCAGCTGGCACTTTGATCTTGGACTTCCGGTCTCCAGAACCTTGAGACAATGAACCCCCCATCTCACACCTGGACTTCCCCCAAAGCTCAGTCTCCAGCACTCCACCCTCTCCTCCCTGCCCTTGCTCTGTTCACACTGCCCTCCCTGTGTGGCTGGAGTCCCAGGGACCACCAGTAACCCCCTGTGTCCCCCCTCATGGACTCCCTGCCTCCTTCCCTTCAGCTGCGTCCCACAGACTCCAACTGGAGGAGCCTGAACCCTGTGTCTGGTCTGGGCTCTATGGACCTGACACACACATCACCATGCGCTGCCCTCTACCTTTCCTCTGGTCCTGTTGTACCCCACCTTCTGCCATCTTTCCAAATCCCCAACCCCTCCTTCTCTTCCCTCCCTGCCCCTGCTGCTGTGAGGAACTGAAATACTACCCCAAACCCGCCTACATGATCACCCTCCCTGGGGCACCCGTCCCACCCTCTCACCACCCCAAGGACAGGGCTCCCCAAGCTCCTGGCCTATCTCTCTCCACAGCCCCTGCCTGGGGGCTCCCATGATGCATGCCTTCTGCCCTGAAGCCTGTGGCCTAGAGTGGGAGTGCTCTGCAGCTACCTGGCTGCTGCCTCCTCCAGGGCATCTCCCTCCAGGTCACTGCTGACCTCTGCACTGCTCCCCGAGCAGCTGGCTCTGGAGTCGGCCCCAGGGCAGCTCCCACTTCAGTGACATCTGCCTCAGTAGCTCCTCCCTCCTCTGTGACCCTGAGCTCCACACTGCCCTGGGCCCCCGGCCCCTCTCAACCACCCCTGGTGTTCCTCTTGCTCACGCTGACTGCAAGACTCCCCTCACTCCAGAGACAGCCCTCCCCATGGCCGCGTCCACAGTCAAGTCCCAGACCTCTGTCCTGGGCTGCCAGCATGCTCCTCCCCGCAGCCCTGCACTGTCTGATCAGCCTATTGTCCTCCCCAGACTGGCTCCTCTTAGAGCTGGCTCCTCCCCATCCTACCTGGGGTGCAGGCTCAGGTCCCCAGTGTCACCCCCTCCTTCTTTCTAACAGGCTCACATCCAGTGCATCAGCAGCAGATTGAGATTCTAGCCACTTCTCAATTCTCCCAGAGCCACCACCATCCTGGAGTCCTAGCTTAGCCTCTGGTGGGTGTGGCCCTCTCTGCCTTGAACTCTTTCCACCCCAGGGCCTTTGCACTAGATGTGCTTCTCCAGTCTCCTTGAAGCCTTCACTCCAATGTTGCCTTCTCAGCCAGGTCTTCCTGACCCCAAAACTGCCTTGTGTCCTTGGGCTCTCAGGCCCCTCAGCCTCCCTACCATTTATTTGTCCACTGTACAGTCTAACCTTGGTGACAGTCATCACCACTCATGCTGTCCCAAGGGCACACATGCTTGCCTACTCTTCCCTGCACCAGCGCTGCAAGTGAGGGAGGGACAGTCACCACTCTTTTATGACAAGGATGCCCAAGCACCTATCCGGGCTCCAAGGTCATCTGCAGGGCTTTACTGGGCTTGGGAGGAGCAGCGGGGAGAAGTCTCAGGGCTGGGCACCTTGGCATGCTCACTCACTCGGATCCCTAAGCCTGGGAGGTGGGCAGGCTTTGGGCCTGGCTGGGCTTCGCAAGGTCAAGGCTTATGGAGGTCCCGGACTTACTGGGTCTACTTCTCGGTGATGTGTGACTTTGTTTCCAAGTATCCCTGGCCTTAGACTTCTGCGGGGGGCGGGGCTTGGTGCAAGTGAGAAACTGGCCTCACGCAGGGCCACTGTGGACCCTGGCACCTAGCTTCTGCCCAGCCCGGCCTGCTGACCGCCCTGGGGGTTAAGGCACACTCTGCATGGGCCCTGAGTCTAGCACAGAGCGTGTCCTCAAGCCTGGGCCTAGGGAATCTCCAGGGACACTTCTGCAGGTGACCTGCTGCTGGCCATGGTGGTACATGCTTGTAATCCCAGCTACTGCAGAGGCTGAGGCAGAAGGATCGAGTATAAGGCCAACTTTCGAAACTAAGGGAAAAAAACTAAGGGAAAACTAAGGGAAAAAAACTAAGGGAAAACTAAGGGAAAAAAACTAAGGGAAAAAAAAACTAAAGGAAAAAAGAAGTGGTCTGTGGTTCATGGCCTCACCAAGACTAGACAGAAAAGAACTTTGGTGGGGGAGAGGCTCTGGGTTCTTCCAGACTCTCCTGGGTATTGTTGTCCATGGACACTGAGGTCCTGGGGGCCAGTTCCAAAGAGGTTTGTTGAATGAATAAACAAAAGTAGAAAGAGAGACTGAACTGAAGATGGGTGGGTACCAGCGGCCAACAATGACCTCCAGGAGCCAGCCTAAATTCAGGGAACTAGCTGGATCGAGTCCCTGCTCTCACATTCCAGTGGGGGTGAGAAACTTTTTTTTTTGAGATAAGATCTCACTATGCAGTTTAGGTTGGGCTTGAACTCACTATGTAGCCCAGGCTGGCCTCAAACTCTTAGTGATCCTCCTGCCTCAGCTTCCTGTGTGCTGGGATTGCAGGTGTGTGCTACCATGCGCCTGGCTGGATGAGAGAAACTTAACAAGTGAGCACACAAAATAGGATCTGCAAGCAAGCAGGACAGGGCAACTGAGGAAATAAAAGCAGGACAAGGTACTGGTGAATGACACTAAGGTTCCAGGCAGTTTCGAGGAAAGTTTTTGAAGCAGGGACCTGCTCAGGGGCCTGTGTACAGCCAGGCCATGAGCTGCTCAGGTGTCCGGTAGAGGATCAATAGGGCAAAGGCCCGGGGTGGACATGTGGCAGGAAGAACAGTGCCAGGATGTGGAGGGCTGCTGCTCCAGGAGGCCTGTACACAGCTCCCTGAGGCTGCTGCTGGGGTGTCGGGCGCCAGAGTAGTGGACGTGTGGTGAGGGTTGACAAGCACAGTACCTAGGCCCTTAATTTACTCCGTTCAAGTGAGGCCTGCGGTCCCCAGTAGGGGGGGCTCTGGCCCCATCAAGCCACCCTTGCTCTCTGCCACAGAGGAGATGGACAGCGGGAGAGACCTGAGGGCCAGTGGTCTGGGCTGCAGGGTTACTCACCGGCAGGATGGAGAACTGCATGAAGAGGCAGGTGAGCTCCAGGGCGGCGAGCAAGTAGGTGAGCAGGATGGTGCCAGGCCGGCCCAGAGCGCCCATCGTGCTGGGGGCCTGGTGGGCCCTGTGGGCCGCAGCTCCCTGCATCCTGGGTGGGCTCCAGACAGGCCCGGGAGGGAAGGATCCGACCGGGAAGCTGGCAGAGCCTTGGGAGCAGGCAAGGGGCAAAAGTCCTGTTGATCTGCACAAGGGTGCTGAGTCACAGGCTAGAGGCGGGCAGTGCCTCGGGAGGACTGTGGGAGAGACAGTGCTCAGGGTCAGACCCTGCCCAGCCTCTCCAGCACCCTGAGCTCGGAGAACGGGTCAGCCGCCCTCCACTAACATCTGACAAGTCCTGGTCTCCCCACACAGCCTCCATGGGAGGAGGGACAGGGCTCCCCCAACGACCCCCCAAGTGGGAGCCAGCTCAGTCTGCAGGTGTCCTACACAGGAAGGCGTCATGCCCCATTTTAGAGGGAAACCCATGCCCAGGGAGGCTGCTGACTGCTGCTCAGATGGCGCCTACTAGGGACTGACTGCGGCACCGCGCAGGTGGCCTTCTTAGTCTACTGTGGTTTCCTGCTCCTGGGGTCCTCAGCCAGAGCGTGGGAGCCTCTAGTGCTGCTAGGCTGGGGACAGGGAGACACAGTGTAGCCTTCCACACCCCCACCCTACCCCAGGGGAGCTCTGCCTCACTTCCTGCGGCAGGGTGCCGCCTCCACCCAACCCCCTTGTCCCCCACAACCGGCGGCAACTGGATTTTGCAGCCGCGTGGAAGTTGCCCACGTTTTTTTTGCCAGTAGACACCTGACACCACCATCGGACCGGCTAGGGTGGGGTGGGGTGGGGTGGGCCAGCCGGGCCGGGCGCCGTGCCCATCCTCCGGGCACTGTGGTGCGGGAAGCAGGCCGCCAGCACACCCCTCCGGGCAACTCGCTGAGCCGAGGTTCGGACGCGGCGGGGATTCGTGATCCAGGGCTGGCCCGCTGTGCTGATCTCGAGTACCTGTCTTCACGGGACAGACGTGGGCTCTGGTTGTCCCGAGGTGAGCACTCCCGGCGACTAGGACACCTGCCCTTCCGGGGTGAGCCCCGGCCCCGCCCTTTGGGAGTGACTCAGGGTGGCCCCGCCCCGCTCCCCGGCTGGCCCCGCCCCCGGCTGGCCCCGCCCCTGGCTGGCCCTGCCCTCTCCTCCCGTTTAGTTTTGAGAGTACCCGAGCCCGGATCTCTGCACACTCATAGGCTAAATCTGGCACGCCACCGAAGGGCTTCGCCCACTTCTCCGCCCACTGCCCGCCCAGGCACAGTGGTCTCGCAGGCTCCAGGCTGCTGCAAGCGGGTTTGTTGGCGATCTGTGTCTAGCACCTTCGCTACTGTCCTGGGTAGACGCAGAGATTCTGACCCCTCCAGCAGCACAAGGTGTCCTTTCGGGGAAGACTTGCGGGGACGAGGGACGGAGGAGGAGTATGGGACTGAGAGGAACAAACAGAGAGGAGAAGCAAGAAGAGGGAAGGAGGCCCTGGTCCGGCCTGGTCCCTCCCAAGGGTCTGCAGTGCTCCGAGGAGTGACAGGGAGACAGGAGCGCTTCTGCGAACAGCACTGCTGGGCGCCTCTCCAGGTCCCTCCACAGCCCGCGAGGTGCTGAGGGCTACCTGGATAGCTTTGCCCAGTGTCATCCTGCTGCCATGTCCCCACACCCGTGTCCGGGGCCTCTGGAGATGCACGGTGCACAGGTACACGAGGCCTCATGCGGCCTCCACCCCAGCCCTGCTGGAGCCCATGGGAGCACACATGGCCCTGGGGTCAGTTGGCCCAGACCCTGCACCCTTCTCAGTGTTCTCTAGGTAGTTGACTGTTGCTAGGTAACCAGATGCTCAGTGAGGGCATGGCCCCACCCTCCTGGCAATGACCAGGCCAAATGTCAGGACCAGTGTCCCCCTTCCATGTCTTAATCTCAGCCCGACAGCAGAAAGCTGCAGAGACAGTGAAAGCAGGATACAGAACTGGAGTTAGGGACAGACCCAGGTAGCCTGAGGTCTGCAGGTCTTATCCTTTGATGTACCCAGCGCTGTTTGTTCTCAGGTGCATGCATTGTTTGAGGAACGTTCCAGGGCAAACAGTGCAAATGGGGGAAATATGTTCACATCTGAGGAGAGTGGGCCCCAGGTCCTCTGCCCGGCTCAATCCTCCTCTCCCCCAGATGTGAGGAGGATGGTTCAACCGGGGCCCAGAGCCAGGCAGGCCCAGCCAGGGGTCTGGGAAGGATGCGCAGAAGGGCTTGCCTGGGAAGAGAAGAGGCTGGGTGACGGGAATCTCAGGGTGTCTCCCATTCAAGACCCCCGGGGGAGGGCTGGAGTTCCAGACCCTATGGGTCTGTGCTCCAGGCGGGCAGGGTCGGGGTTTGTCTCCAAGAAGTCCTGAACTCCCAGGACTGACTGGTCTGGTTCTCTGGCTGCTCCTCCCCAGCCTGGCCAGAGGTTGGACCATCACTGGCTCCTGGGGCCCCTGGACAGGGCTTGGAGGGTGAAGAGGCAGGAAGGGGTTTGGTGAGCATCTGAAAATGTCCAGAGCCTGGCAGGGGAGGCCTGGGGTCCTCTGGATTCCTGGGATGGGCAGGAAGGGGCCACTTACCACGCGCTTCCTCTCGTGCTAAGCAGGGGTTGTGGTGGCAGGGAACTGGTTGGGCAGAAGAAATCCTAGCTTTTGTTTTTATCATGCATGGGTAAGTAGGGGCGGGAAAACTTCCTGGTTACAGGGAGTGTGGGAAATTTGTTCTTCAGGCTAGGAGAGGAAAGAGAAGCACTGGGAACCCCAGACCCTTAGATTTCCTCTTCTAGAGGAAGCAGCTTTGGCTGTGGGCCAGGGGGACCAACCACTCACTCGGCCGCTCAACAAATCCCTGCACTTTCCCAGGTGAAACACCATGATTGTTCTGCTGGGGAGACTGATTCAGGCTGACCACAGGAAGAAGCTTAGCCTGGGCCTGGGTGCTCAGGAAACTGGGAACAGGGGCGGGGATGGGGCATGACGTGTGGGGGTGGGGCAGAAACCCAGTGTGGAGGAGGTGGCCCCAGAGGAGCTGGAACTGTAGGATGGTGAGGCTTCTTTTTTTGTTGTTGTTTTTTGTTTTCCGGTACTGGGAATTGAACTCACGACCTTGAGCTTGCCAGGCAGGCGCTGTGCCACTGAGCTAAATCCCCAGCCCCTCTTGTTGTTTTGGTTTTGTTTTTTGTTTTTTGTTTTTTTTTTTTTTCCCCCGGTACCTGGAATCGAACTCATGATGTCACGCTTGCCAGGCAGGCGCTGTGCCTCTGAGCTAAATCCCCAGCCCCCTGGAACTGTAGGATGGGGCCAGGTGTCCCAGGAGGGATCTCTTTAACTGCTCCGTGCTGGGGCCAGGGTTCCTGAGCACGTCCAGGGGAGAGGATGGCCATGACTGTACAGCAGGAGACTTGGAGCACTTTATGAATACCGAGCACTTACTGGGTACAGGTCTTTACCAGGCACTGAACCGCCCTCCCCTGGCCTGTCATTGCATGTGTTTAGGGGGGAGGTGACACACACCTGTGGAACTGACACACAATGAGCACTCTGACGGTGAGCACTGCAGCTGGGAGCACTCCGATTGTGAGTTCACTGGTTGTGAGCAGTGTGTGCACCGTGGCTCTGGCTGCCTTGTGTTCCAGTGGGAGCTTCTTGCTGATGTGCTTGTGAGACTGGTGGGTGGCACATGCAGGCGGGCTTCTGCCAGGTTCCAGTGAGAGGGACATGGACTTGGGTTGGAGGGTGTTATGGTTTGTGCCTAAATGTCCCCCCAAAGCCTCAAGAAGTCATGGGGCGGGCTTCTAGAGTTATTGATTGATCCACGGTCCAATACTGGAATGATGGGTGTGACTGCTACACCCACCCTGGCGGGAAGCCTGCGCACAATGTAAGTGGGGGAAAGAGGCTTGCTCTCTGTAGCTCCTCCCTTTTTGCTCTTGTTGCTTTTACTGTCTTCTGCTGCCATGAGCTATTGCCCTCTGCCATGTACCACCTGTCTTGGAGTCAGCTGATTATGGACTGAAACCTCCATAAACTGTAAGCTAAATAAACTTTTCCTTCCTTAATTTTGAGTGTTGGGTATTTTGTCTCAGCAGCAAGAGAAACGTAACCAGGATGGGGCCAGTGGAGGGTGCAAGGAGCAGATTCCGCTCCTCCCTGTGGGGAGGGGCCACGCTCATGGGCTGGGTGTGGGCAGAGAGCCGACTTGGCCAGGGCCCCCTAGATGTGGGGCCCCCATTAGCCACAGGGGTGGCTGGGGTAGAGAGCAGGGATAGAGAACAGGGCTTAAGGCTCGTGTGTTGGGGGAGGGTGAAGCTGAGGGCCAGGCGAGGACTCAGAGCTTGCAGCCCGGGCTGTGGGCTGAGCTGGATGCATGGAGGTGGTATTCAGGGTCCCACCCAGGAGAGATGACCCAGAGTTGCAGGGACCAAGAGCAGAAGGGTCAGAGGCCAAGACTGCACCCCACACAGGAGGAGGACCCTGGGAATGGCCAGGGAGAGGGTGGGAACTCCAGGAGCAGGGGCCGGGAGTGGGTAGAGGCTGAGAGCTGTCTGTGGGGTGTGCTGTTGGCCAAAGGGGGGAGAAAAGGGCAGCAGTGGGGCGTGGACAGCTCCTTCGAGAGGTTTTGTCACAAAAGGGAGCCAAGAAACGGTTAGTGGCTGATGGGGAATGGAACAGACACATTTGCTTCAAGTTGTAGGGTTTTAAGAAGATGTGACACTGCAGGGAGGGAGGTGGGGAGAGGCTGGGTGGGCTGCCCCTGCCAGGTGCCCATTCCTTGTCACGTCCCCTGTTATCCGTGAAGACTCACCTCAAAGGTCACTTCTTCAGGGGCACCCACCGCGTTTGGCAATGCCCGCTGGCCCAGCTCTTGCCCTCCTCTCCTACGGGGTGCCTTTCCAGGTCTTGTTGCCATGCAGTTTCAGATCTTGGCCAGCAGGAGGCGCATGGACGACGGCCCGTTCTCAAGTCCAACCCTGGCTTGCCTAGTGATCTGTTCTGGGAGTCACACACAGCCTTGTCAGGTGCAGGGCTCCCGAGCCTGCTGTGGACCCTGGGGAGCCTGGCCTCAGTTTCCCCCTCCATGTTGGAGGCATCCGTTGAGTCTTGGAGGGTTCAGAATTCCCTGACCCCAGCCGAAAGTAGGTGGAAGCCTCAGGCAGATGTGCCAAGCCCTGGGGGAGGGGGCTGGCTTCTAGGAGGGGGAGCTGGAGCTGGATCTCGTCTCCATAGCAGCATACTGGTTTCTGGCCCACCTGTGGCTGGGCTGTAGGCTACAGCCCGGCTCTGGCCCTGGGAGGCTGAGGTCCACCCTGGGTGCCAGTGTGCAGATGGGCCCAGGTGGCCGAGCACCGATGTGGGCCTAGACTCGGTCTGACGCGGTGGGACATGCCCCATGCACTCTAGGGCTCATGCTAGCTGGCAGTCACACATGGGGAGAAGAGGCTTTGGAGGGGAGCCTTATGCCGAGAGCTGTGTGGAGGAGGTGTCCATAGAGTAGGGCTGAAGACTGCAGACCTTGGGGGCTTTTAGGGGAGACCTAGAGTACAGTCCAGGGGAGCCACCTGTCCCCTTGCTCCTGCCACAGGTTCAATAACCAGAGGCCAGTGTTGCAGCTGGGACCCTGCTCTGGGGAAGCTCACACGCTGCCTGGGGACACCTGCTTTGCCTGGCTCTGAGTGGTCTCCAGGATGTGGGACTTCCCATAGTGAGGGGGGCCATCCTGGGCCAATGCGGACTGGTGGTCAACCCCCTAGCTCTGCAGGCTAAACAGAGCCCTGCTGGGTGGTGTCTGGGTGCCTGTCCTCAGGAAACCAGGCCATTTGCTTTCCATCGGGGCAGCTGGCCTGGCATCACAATGGGAAGGGGCAGCTCTCTGCCCTGCTCTTCACTGAGTGCCCTGGACTGGCTGAGTGGGGCTTCTAAGACCCCGAGTGCCCCCCATTTGTTCTCAGGTGTAGCTGCTTAGTCTGGGCCCCGGGCCCACATTTCCACTGGTTTTGGAGCACAATTACAAACCAAGGCAGCCTGAGAAAACCCGGGCCATGAGCCCTGCCATGGTGCCCACTATGCTGTGTCTGGAAGGGTCATGCCCTTGTCCTCAGCCTTGAACATTCCTTGCACCAGCTGATCCCTTCCCCACTGTGGGGCTCAGAGCAAAATGCCACGCTGAAAGCCCTCCTAGTCCCGCGCCTCATCAGGCAATTGGCCCTTTTGCTTCTTGCAGTTGGGTACTGTGCTGCTTCAAGCACTGATTTCTCTTCCTGTTCCTCTCCTGGAGGCCTCTGAAGGGGCAGGGG